GTGAGTGAGTGAGTGAGTGAGTGAGTGAGTGAGTGTGTGTGTGCGTGTTTACTGGACTGGGACGTGCTTCTGGGTTTGCCGATGTACTTCAGGATGGGATTTTGTTTCTTGTCGTCTCCATCCTTCTCTCGTTTGGCGCTGCTCAGCTGCGTATGAACATATGAAGCCCATTATGCAGATACAGTCAGATCTGCATATGTCACTCAATATATGACATAAAACAGAATACATTTATCTTCTTAGCTTTAGGAAAGAACGGAAGCCACTTTTCCTTCTCGGACATCAAGCCGGGAAACACTTTGGAGTCTCTGAGTTTAATGCCGAGTGTCTGAGATAGAGATGAACCGCAGACGCTAGCGGAGAGCTGACAGGAGGATAACGGTCAACATCATGTGACGTAATACACGGATTCAATAGATTTTGCTGGGAGTATAATAAAGGTCCATACCTTCTGTCCTCCTCATGTTTTGAACTGTAAGGAAAGAAAACTCATGTTAGCATGGCTGCATCTGCACAAACACGCACCTGAAGTGTTTTTGATATCACAGCGTTTTGTTCGGTGTGTGGTGCGAGGTTCCCGTGACAGACACCTCATGCTGTGTGTACAGCTGTCATGTGACCTCTGGCTCAGTGTCTGTGGGTCATGTGACAGCTCTGCTTCGAGGTGTGTCGCGTACGAGGGACCTTTGTCACTCATGCCAACTCGTTTTCATTTCATATCTGCGTCATCTGACCGGTCGCCGTGGAAACAGACTGCTGTGTGTGGGACTCCATATAATCTGTGCTGCTGGTTTATAATATGTTTCTCTCACTGATTTAAGAGCATATTAAACAGAGATACAAACTCAACAGAGGTAACTCAACCTTTCTTTCCCCATCAAGAAATGTTTTTAATTATAATTTTAAATATTTTAAATATCATTAAAAATGTATAAAATGTATTAAAATACAGTATAATTACAAAAGTAGTACATTACTTTATTATTACGTTATATAATGTAATCCAATAAAAATGCATTACTATAATAATAATAATAATAATAATAATTATTGATATATAAGCGATTGATATATATTATTATTACTAATGCTATTACTATAATTATACTACTGTAAAGTACTATAAAATTTGAGTATTGTACAACAGTATAATTACAATAGTAATACATTTCTTTATTAGTAAGTTATATAATGTAACCCAATAAAAATGCTTTACTATAATTATAATTATAATAATAATAATAATAATAATAATAAAAATTATTATTATTATTTAATTATTGATATATAAATTATGAAGATTGTTATTATTACTGTTGTTGTTGTTATTACTATTATTATTATACTATTGTATAGTTGTACAGAGTATTCAATAATAATAATAATCTAATTTTTTACAGTACAACAGTATAATTACAATATTAATACATTTCATTATTAAGTTATATAATGCAACATCAAAATTAATTACTATAATTAGTAATAATAATAAATATTATTATAATTATTTTTATTATTAAATTCTTAATATACAAATTATTTTTCTTCTTCTTCTTCTTATTATTATTATTACTATTATTATACTATTCTATAGTTGTACTATAAAATTTGAGTATTTAATAATAATTATAATACCTTTAGAGAAATGTATTAATTATTATTATTATTACTGTTGTTGTTGTTATTACCAAGTTATAAACCAATAAATAAATGTATTACTACAGTAATAGTACTATAGTACTGCTGTACTTTAAAAATATAATAACAATAATAATTATTATAGATAGAAGAACAACAACAACAATAATAATAATACCAACAACTGATTAATAAGAATAATAATAGAGAACAACAGAAATATTAATGCTATTACTGACGATTCAAAAAGAAATCAGAAGCAGATCCAGTTTTCTCATGAAATATCATGAAGACAGCCACTTCTGTCTTTAGAAAACCATGCTCCGCTGCTTCACGCAGTGAGTGTTGAGCTCGTGTGTTTGGAGTGTGTTCCAGTGTAACTGAAGAGAAGTGGTCACTCACGGGACGTCCCAGAGCGCCAGCACCTGTTTGTCCAGCAGCTGCCGCTCTTTCACCGGGTCTCCGTCTAACTGCTGCAGGTCGCTCTCTCCGAACAGAGAGCCCAGACCCATCGTCTGCTTGCTCCTGCCGTGCCACACACAACACTACATTATACACCCCACACAGCCTGTGTTACAACTAGGGATGCACAATATTATTGGACCAATATCAGAATCGGCCGATAATGGCTTTAAATGTAAATATCGGCATCGGCCCGATATGAAAAATATGCCGATATGTCTTGCCGATAAGAGGAGCAACTCACATGTGCGCAGGGTGTGCTAGCGATTAGATCACGTCAACAGTGTGGCTCATTCTTGAAGCAAAGTTTGGTCTGAATGATGATTAGATTCACTGTTTTGATCGCTGCATTTAAACTGAGAAAGCACGTACAGAATGAAGCGTTCGGTGTGTGATAGAGTAAACAGTAACAGCACGTGCAGCTCTGTAAGGAGTTTTAATTCCGTAGGGGGCGCTGTTGGCCTACTTCTAATTAAATGAAAGCAAAATGCACAAATAATATTTAGACTGTGTTTCTGATTAAATAAAGCAGTAACTGATGTCATAAAATCATGAGTACGTTTTGATTTAAAGGTCAGAAGCTATAGCTTACAGGAACGAACAAACAAAAAATCACAAACATGACACTTAAATTAAATAATTTTATATACACTGATTTATTCATTCATGTGTAAAATGTTTTTTTTTTTTTTAAACAAATTATGAGCTCTAAAAGATTTTCAGAATTTTTACAACTCTTTTGCATTAGACCATTTACAAATGTTAAACCTTAAAATAAAATGTTAAGGTTACTACAAATTATCGGCATATCGGCAAAAATCCAATATCGTCTATCCCTAGTTACAACCTTTAATAACTGTGGAATAACTACGAGAAATGTCTTCAACAGCATTTCAAAAAGAGTGTTTAGAAGTATTAGTTAAAGCTGCTACAATGTAACTCTTCCCAGTAAAGCTGAAGAGGCACCTCTAGTCTTGAAGCTGCTCTTGAATATCTGGAAGCACCTGCTGCTGGAGCTCAGACAGCGGCCCTCGGATGTCCTCCTGCGCGTGCAGACGACTCTCTACACGAGAACACAACAAACGCACGGTTAGCCACAGCCCCGTCACGCTGCCAGCAGGCGTCGTGCTCAAGAGACCTCACCTATATCTGTCAGAAACTCCTCCCGGACTTTAATCTTCACAGGCTGAAAAGAATCACAAATGGACAGTCACACAGAAAGCTCGCTGAGAAAAGCAGCGCTGGTGGTTTGTGGGTGTAGATCAGACACTCACGGCATCTTGGTCCAGGAAGTGCGAGCAGATCTGAGGGGCGAGCGAACGGGCGTCTTTCGGGCTCGAGCCCAGATACGCCTCCACAGACAGATAAAACAACTGCATCGACACAAGAGTTACATTAGTGCTCATGCAGCCACTGATGCTCACCGAGTTGGCATTTAATATTTCATAAGCGGCCCTCGGATGTCCTCCTGCGCGTGCAGACGACTCTCTGCAGGAAAACACAGCAGACACACGCTCAATCACAGCCCCGTCACACCGCCAGCAGCTGGTCGAGCTGAGATCTGCAGCAAACCTCACCTATATCTGTCAGAAACTCCTCTCGCACTTTCACCTTCAGAGGCTGAACAGAACCACACACATTAACAGTCATGTATAAAAGTTCATTCAGAAGCGCGCTGGTGTTAAGTGTGTGTGGGTCAGATACTCACAGCATTGTGGGCCAGGAAGTGTGAGCAGATCTGAGGGGCGAGCGAACGGGCGTCTTTGGGGCTCGAGCCCAGGTACACCTCCACAGACAGATAAAACAACTGCATCGACACAACACACACACGAGAGAAACTCATTTGTATTCAGACAGACACACACTCTCATGGAGCAGTGGTTAATACACCAGCACGCTGCATGTTTCGTATGAAAAGCAGGGCTGACCAGTGGGTTTGGATCCAGGAGCTGGCTGAACACGTATCTCAGGAACACCGTCATGTGAGCCGGCCGACTCTTCAGCAGCTCCATGTCCTGAAACGGCCCGTCCATCTGTCACCACGAGTTCAAGATGTGACGCAACATTTCCCTTTCTCA